ATATAAAATTAGAGACGCCTCTGAGAACGGCGTATCGCTAGCATGCAGTGCAGGAGAGTATTCTTAATTTGTTTCTTATAGATATTTCACCTTGCCGGGTTTATAGCTTGATACCTTAGGACCTGCTTTTTTGGGTCACGGGAAGCCACACGGAGGCCGCCAAACCGGCGGCAGTCGGTGTTAACAAAACCGGGCAATTCGGGTGACAGGAGCACAACCACAACTGATGTTTTTGAAAAGCCACTTTTCCAAAAATCCTGACCTTTGGAAAGAAAGTGCGGTGATGATGGGTAGCTCTATTGTGCCTTTTCAGCTTCCGCGAGCAGAAATTTCTCTGTGCTGCTTCCTGGTAGCTGGATGCCCGTGTCTCAAAAACGGCTCCCTTTCCTCTGGCACTGGAGCTGCTCGGCGGTGAACCAGCGGGAAGAGCTCAGCCCTGACCTGCAGCTTACCTGAGCGAAGCACTGTCATACAGACAGTTGCTTGTGCTATGGAAAATAGTTCTTTAAACCCTCAGGCTTGCTAGCGGCATCCTTAGCTGTGAATGAGCATTTAGAGGTTTATCCTAAAAAAACTCCAAAACAACTCAGATCTTTTTGTGTGCCTCTTGAATCAACATAGTAAAAAATAGCTTTAAAAGAAACCCCATAAACCAAACAAAAATACCTCTTTTTCTTATTTTCTAACTGGTAAAGCGTTGTATGTATTCTCATATTCTGACTGTGGAATTCCATGTACTAGGTCTTTTTCATAACAATTTGCAAAGATGTTCAGAGCTGGATGTGTGTGTATAATTGCATGTCAGAAGGATATAAGGAGAAAAATTGTTTCACACCCAAGAATGACACACTTTTAGTGGTAGGTGATAGATTTTCACATAAAGGCTTTAAAGTAATGGCTAAGAATTCTGTGTAGCATAGTAATGTCTATTTTAAAAATATTTCATATTTCTTAACATTAATTCCTGAAACGTTGTGTATGTATTTCTGTATCTTCTTCCAACAAATTTTATCCAGACATTCCCCATGCATCTTCAAGACCTCATCATCTGTGAGTGATACACACACATGCAAGCATTTTCCATTTTGTTTCAAAAGCTAGAACAGCATCTTGAGCAGATTTCAAAGGTGGTACAAATAGTAGTTGGAAAAAAACTTTTAAGAACATTTGAGTGAACTTTGCAGTTCACAGGAGATGCAAAAAAAGTAGATGATCAAAAATTATTTCCAGATGAGCATCTACCTTTCATTTCTAGTGAGGCAAATCTTTACATGGGGAAAAAATAACCATCCAACAACAACAGAAAAGCCTTTTTGTGCGTATACGTGTTTTTTGTTTCTGCTTTTATGACTACCTTTAGCTAATTGCTGGCATTTGATGAAAAAAGTCTGTGCACAAAGAAGCTATCCTTTATTGTTGTTTGGGCTTTTTTTCTCCAAATTTATCATTTTCTTAAATGCAGAGTTCAGATTTGTGACAATTTGTCTCATGCCGAAAAAAAACATTTAGGGGAAAGCTTTGCTGTTTTAAAAATGACAAGATAATGGCTCATCCACATGCAAGGAAACTGAACTGTTACAGTAGCTGCTTGCTGACAGCTGTGTCATAAAGGCAGTTTAATGCATCCATCTTGGTAAATGTGACAGAAAAAGATGATTTTTAATGAAGTGTTCAAACTTCAAGTGAAGTTTGTTTAGAGATGTCTGAGCAACCTGGCTTACATAGTGATTTCTTTCTTCACTAGGTAGAAGATCTCTTCTTTCTGCGGCCTATGTGGACAGCTCAAAATGGGAAAAGAGACGAAAGGAGGAGCATAGCCTGGGTGAGAAAAGTTTGTTTCTTTTTCTCCGCTTTGACTAATTAATTGCAACCTGAACTCATTGTAGACTAGCTCATCATCTACAAATACTTCAAAATAAAAAGATGTGTGGAGCAAAACACTTATGAGGTTCTGTTACAAAATCTGCTCAACATGTTAAAAATATGTCATATATATTCAAAGCTACAATGCAGAAACAAGTTACAATTTGTCCATTTAATTTATGTTTGGTTTCTACAAGCTGATTTTTTTTCTTTCACAAAATCCAAAGCTTTTAGAAATGTCATAGTTTTTTGACAGTTGAGACTGTCTCTGAATGTCCTCTTCATTGACATGTTTTAATTGTAATGTAGTGCAAAAGAACACCTATTCTGTAAGTATTACAGGGCATT